TCTGACTGAACAGAGAACGAGAGGGCGAGAGGACTATACCTACGCTGTACACCTAGCAGCTGCATCGAAACACGGGCCAGCTCCTTGTTCGTTGGATTGTTTCGTAAGCGACTGCTTAATTTACCGGTCGTGTCAGCTGCAACGGATGGAAAAAATCGCTCGGCTATGCAAGTTCCTCTCGGTGCGATGTTTTCACGTAGCTGCGTAGTAACAAGGTGGAAACACCGAGCGCGAGAACCATCTGGTAATAATGTTCGGTTCGAGAACACGGCCGCTACGAGTGTTTTCAACCGTGTGCCTGTTGCCGGAGCAGAGGGAGAATCGGCCTGGAAACCGATCGGGAACGGGCCGTTGGTCGGAAACGAGGATAGGAACACGCTGAACGTCGCTAATTGCAAAAACTGCCTCGAGGCATCGTCGTCCACCGCGTTCTACTCGATGATTCAGCTCTCCGCGGGAAAAAGGAAACCGGCGGACGCGTAAAACACGGCTATTCGGTCAACTTTCTGGAAACTTTCCACATTCTTACGCGCGAGCGTGTCAGCAGATTCATTCCGCTTTAATTCATCATTCAATGGTCCGAGTTTGTGTTTTGCGGGATTATTCAGAAATGTTGTTTCCCCGTGGAAAATCGAGTTTCAATGTTTTCGATGGGGAGCAACAGAATCTTTTTAGTGGAAAATCGACTTTCGATATTTTTCAATGTTGAAATCATGGAGAAAATGTTTCGATCTACAGAAAATTGGGCTATTACGGTAACAACCAACTCTTTTGGAATATTCCAGAATATATGTTCAATCTGGAATAAAAAACTCAGTATCGAATTTTTAAATGCCTCTTCTATAAAAGATCGAAAATATGACCTATCACGGTAGTTATGATTTTTCTTTTATACATTTTTTGTCGTACGAAGAAAATTAAAGAGAACGTAAATTGGTTCAGTTGGCTGGTATATTATACGATCTGTGGAAAATGTAAAAAAGGATATATATATTAGATGGTTGGTGAATTGTTCGCTCTTTTGTGGAACGCCAGCTGCGTTTTATCTTGACGACACCGGTAACGTCGTGCCATTTCCACGTTCCGCAAAGTTTTTCTATACTTCTACTGCTGATAGACGCACTGCAGAACGCTGAAACGTCTCTGTTTCGTGTATTAGCGATATCGTGCCGCGATAAATGGCACATGCACCTTCTGCGCTCGCTTTTTCCACTGTGTTTCGCAACAGATATTTGGTGTCAGGAGAATTCTTAATGGCTCTTGGTCAGTACAATTCGTGAATTTATTGTTTCGCTCGTTATAAATGAAGATTAGCTGGAGAGATGCGATAAGTCTATCATCGTTGAGTTTTCGGTAACTTTAGTATATCATTGGGAAAAGTAATGTAGTTTGAAAGTTGCTCAATGAAAACGAAACTTAGATTTTTATATGTTATACAGGGTGGTTGGTAACTGGTGGCACAAGCAAAAAGGGGGTGATTCTACGCGAAAATTAAAAAAAAAATTTTTTTTTATTTAATTTTTCCATCGAGACAACGATCTACAGTGAGATCCGTTATAACGAGACGTGATACAGTGCACGCGTACCGAGCGAAAATTCAAAGTCGATTTTTTCGAAAACAAAGCCTCAAACGAACAATTTTTATTCTATATTTTCGACTTCTTTTTTCGCGTAGAATCACCCCCTTTTCGCTTGTATCACCAATTACCAACCACCCTGTATATTATATATCTAATAAAAGTAGAAATATACAGAATACAGTTAAGATTTTATTCAATGAGAGGATGAAGGAAGGATAAAGGAAGGAAAGAGATCTTGCAATTGCCCTATGATTCCCACATAAGGAAGTGAAACTATAAATAATGTAGTATTTTTATATTACGACATTTTATCCTATTTCTCTATAAATATATGACTTTTATAAAAAAAATTGTGTGCACTTTTACATTCTTTGAACAATTTTTATATTCTTTAAAATATTATTCGAGATTTCAACATTAAATATTTTCTATTACTATCTTTCATCTTAATACCGGAATAAACAACGACAGCAAACACGTAGGTAGAAAATTTACAGATTGTTAGGGAAAAGGCAGCATGTAAAGCAAAGGAACGATTAGATAGGGACGATACATAAGAGATACGTGTAAACGCGAGATCTGTTTCGCGATTAAACGACACGTTTGCAAATAACAGGACGAGGTGGTCGATAATTCAAGCAAGCCATCATCTTCTTCCATAGAAACGTCCGATCAATTACAAGGTTCATTCTACTCGCGAGTGATTGTAGGTTCTACCTTCTCCTTTAATATACGGCCAATTACGCTTTCTCTTTTCTTACAACCTCCTATGAACTGAAACATGATCGAAGTAATGATCGTGTAATATGACATTTCCAACATGACAGTTACAATTCTGTATAGTCTAAAAGAAAATTGCTATTCGACCAGTATGCAAAGAAGGAAAACGTCGATAAATTCGTAATTATCAAGTTGTGTAATCATCTTTTAATTAAGCCTCGTTTCGAAAGAGTGCTTAGCTAAATGGAAGAGTAATTAAGTGGCTTAAATAGTCCGTTACAAAGGAGACAGCTTCGAATAATTATGACACATTACCAACCACCCTGTATATTATATATCTAATAAAAGTAGAAATATACAGAATACAGTTAAGATTTTATTCAATGAGAGGATGAAGGAAGGATAAAGGAAGGAAAGAGATCTTGCAATTGCCCTATGATTCCCACATAAGGAAGTGAAACTATAAATAATGTAGTATTTTTATATTACGACATTTTATCCTATTTCTCTATAAATATATGACTTTTATAAAAAAAATTGTGTGCACTTTTACATTCTTTGAACAATTTTTATATTCTTTAAAATATTATTCGAGATTTCAACATTAAATATTTTCTATTACTATCTTTCATCTTAATACCGGAATAAACAACGACAGCAAACACGTAGGTAGAAAATTTACAGATTGTTAGGGAAAAGGCAGCATGTAAAGCAAAGGAACGATTAGATAGGGACGATACATAAGAGATACGTGTAAACGCGAGATCTGTTTCGCGATTAAACGACACGTTTGCAAATAACAGGACGAGGTGGTCGATAATTCAAGCAAGCCATCATCTTCTTCCATAGAAACGTCCGATCAATTACAAGGTTCATTCTACTCGCGAGTGATTGTAGGTTCTACCTTCTCCTTTAATATACGGCCAATTACGCTTTCTCTTTTCTTACAACCTCCTATGAACTGAAACATGATCGAAGTAATGATCGTGTAATATGACATTTCCAACATGACAGTTACAATTCTGTATAGTCTAAAAGAAAATTGCTATTCGACCAGTATGCAAAGAAGGAAAACGTCGATAAATTCGTAATTATCAAGTTGTGTAATCATCTTTTAATTAAGCCTCGTTTCGAAAGAGTGCTTAGCTAAATGGAAGAGTAATTAAGTGGCTTAAATAGTCCGTTACAAAGGAGACAGCTTCGAATAATTATGACACCGGGAAGTTTGAACATCGTTCAACCAATCTGTTCGCTTCTAATTTATTCAATGGAAGGCGCGCTGCTACAGAAGCTGTATTACATAAATTTCGTTATGTAATACATTATAGTATGTGCTTCACGCGTAAGGACGCTCTCATTAGATCGGTAGAAACGTTCCGGTTTAGTGTTGGAATTGTCACTTTACGCGCAAATAAGCTATTGGGCCAAGCACGCGCTCCAAGAATTCGAGCACCGGGTGTCTGACTAGACACTGGTATTTTCTACTTACAGTGAAACTAGCGATCGCGCTCATAATCTTTTTTTTTGTTATTTCTTCCGTACTTGATATTTCGATACGTTCCTATTGGAGATGTTTAATGTAATATCAAGGAAAAGTCTAACTTCCTTATTTATTTACCTCGAAAATTCGAAATAATTCAATACGTGGTAAATAGATGATTTGGAGTTACTTATTTCTTAAAGTACTATTTTGGAATCTATCTAAAACGACTTATTTTGCTTCATTTTATTTTCAAACATTTTCAAATCTTTAGAATGCCAATCTTATACTGTAAGAATACCTGGCCCCTAAATTTTTAAAATTTTAAACGACTCGGTATTATCTAAATCTTGGGCTATCCTGTTAAATTACTATAAACGAGCATTGTACGGTCCAAGCTAGTAAAATGGAGAAGCACAGTCGTGAATTCAGGTGTCATTCACGTTCACACAACGCGTAGTAAAAGTTTGATGGGCCAGACACGGAATAGTATTCAATACTCTTTGGGGGATTTAAGCAATGATCGATGAAATTGTTGTATTTCGCAGCGATACGCTGCAGGCTTGCCAGTGGTTACGAACGACCGCACGCGTCACTCGTTCGAACACGCGTAGACCAGGGCGAAGCGCGAGCGAGCGTGGCCCCAATTAATTTGCAATCGATTATATGACTAGCGTTTTAACGTCACGTAGCAAGCAATTCGTACGTGCCTCCCAGCTGTATTTGTGCATTATATTTCACTGTCGAAATATTAAAGAAGGATATGGATATTTAAAATGCTGAACACAAAGAAAGTTGAGTTTAATAATCAGAGCACGAATCGGAAAAATGATGTATTTCATGAAGCTTATTAAACAATTACTTTTTTTGAATCGACAATGAAATTAAATGGTATGGACTGCAGAAGTCGTTTTGAAATGTCGCTAAAATTAATGTATAAAATTAGTGTACGATCAAAATCATATGAAAAAGCGAAATTAATAAGGAAATGAAACTATCAAAGTATAAAGAATGCATTAGAATAATGGATAATTTAGAAGTTCACTACACGTATCATATAGACAGAAAAATTTCTATTAAAAAAGAATTTTTTTAATTCTACAAATCCATTATTTTGATCTATTCATCTACATTATATGTTATATCGAAGATTCTGTTCACCTACATTAAAATTTTTCGAAACAACCACCTTTACTAACAACGAACTATAATGATTTCAGATGTCCTGACAGCGGGCCCCGGGCCACCAGGATGCCGACAGACGACGACTATGGCCGAAGAGAACGTCTCCTACTGCACCAACATCCGATCCCTCAATACGGGTCCTCGTCATCTCCGGTTCCAGGATCGAACGCCGGAACGTCCGGAAGTGTCGGTTCCCAGATCGGTTCCACCAGCTCCTCGGATTGTTATAAGCCAACGGCGCAACAACAGCAAACTGATCTGCGAACAAATGGATCGAATGTCACCGTTGGCCAAGATCGTTACCAGTCCGATCAGTCCTCCCAAGGGAACGAGCACGTCGATTATGGAGGCCGTGAACGAATGTCAGGCATCGAGAGGCATGACAAATCAACGGACAAGCCAACGATCGACGATTTCCCAAAGTCCTGCGCGGAAACGCGTTCGATACAGTCAAGTTGCGAGCGATTCAGCCATTATCAGAATCAAGAGAGATTCGGTCAGCCCTCTTTGCAAGTCCACCACCAGTATACCCCAGGGAGATCGACTGCGTCTGGACAATCGTTGTCCGGAAACGTGGTTCTGGCCGACCGTTTTCCACGATTCAACGAACTCACCGGTCTACACGGTGAGCAGAGATTGTCCTTGGCCCCGAGCGAACGCTTTCAACCGGCCACCAGCACCGAGCTTCGATTCCATCATCCCCCTAACGAGCTGGTGTCAACCGGAAACGAATACGCGAATACCAATATCTTGGTATCGGGCTGCGCGACCAGTCCATTTTCATCAGAGACGTTCCCCTCACCGCCATCACCGGCACCAGCGAACGACCGTTTCGTTCCACCGCCGCCTCTGTCACCCAGCCCAAGCGAGAAATATGCCTCGACCCAGAGTCTGGCTGGTTATCCTGCTGCTGATAGGATTCTGCCCCCAGGTTCTCCAAGCACCAGATATGGCAGCGGCACGGCACCAGCTTCACCGATGCCAACTAAAGAACGATTCTCTTCGGCGGAACGACTACTGGCCAATCAACAATCGTCGAGTTCCATGCACGAGCCCAAGGATCAGCAACGATACGCTGGAACCAGTGATCGCCTGCTGTCCGGATCGTCGCCGGTGCTTGGAAGTCTACAAGCCAGTCTACAAGGGGACAGGGTTGGTATATATACCACGAGCAAGGATTCGACCGGATCGAGATACGGCGCCATTTCGACGGACCGATTACTTTCATCGTCACCTATACATGCCCCAGTGCCAGAGAGGTTCGCCAGCAAGTCGACCGATCGGTATCTCGGCGAGTCGCCTGTACACGAACGATACCATCGACAGGAAGCGACAGCAGCCATTCACCACGATCGTTACTCGACGATATCGTCCAGCGCCGAAAGATTCCTCTCCAATTCACCTAATCCCGAGGCCTCTCATCAGCGTTACACGTCGACGGAGAGGTCACTGCAGGTGTCGTCTAGCAGCAACGAACAGAGACGTCTGTATACCGATCGAGGCGTCGAAACGGTCTGTCAGAAGTATACAGACAGGTCCAGCGGATCCCCCGCGCCCACCGACTTCAACAGATACTCCACATTCCAGGAGGTTGGAAACACCCAGTCCAGATATGTCAGCACCAACGATCGTTTCAACGATCTCGCGATACAGCGCTGCGGTCAGTCGCGAGCAAACGATCGATTCTGTGTATCAAACGATCGTTATCTCGCCAGTTCGTCACCAGGACACGATGGAAGACTGGCTAACAGCGATGCGACCAGGTACGTCGTCTCGGGATCATCGACGGAACGTCTGCTCTCCGGGACATCCTCTTCGTCCTCTTCTTCGACCGACACGGTCGCCCGGTATCACTCCTCCTACACGAACACGGCAGCCACCCAGTCCACCACTTCCAATGATCGTTTCACCTCCGTCTCTCCCACTCCTGAAACAGCCAATACCAATCTGCGGTCAGCAACAGGAACTGGAACAACCGGTGGCGCAGGGAGTTCCGGATATCAGGGTACGACAAAAAGCGGCGTCGACAAATATCTTCAGGTGTCAAAGTCTGTGCAGAGCTACGGGAACGATCGCTATACCAATCCAGGCGATCAGTTCGACAGGCTCAGCCAGGATCGTTACGACAGATTCGCCAATCCTGTCAGCACCACGGATCGCTTCACACCTTCGTCCGGTACTCCTGATCGCTTTCATTCTGCTACTGATCGATACTCTCCTGTACGCGCCGCGGACAAGTATCTATCCTTGCCGAAACCCAAGGATCGATACACCGGTCGCATAACACCGATCTCGTCTTGTGGTACTTCGGTGGTTGCCACGTCGACCGATCGAACTTATGGCTCGACTAGCGCAACGGGAAGCTACGTTCCGCCAACCGCGCACACGCCTGTCGAACGATACGTGCCTCAACCACCTCCGGAGGTTCTCTACCCGGACAGATATGTCGACAGATACGTACCACCTTCTGCACACACGCCTACCGATCGTTATGTGCCGACCAACGATCCAGGTGATCCATACATGAGACGAGATCTTGGATTCCATCATCATTATCGGCTACCACCGCCTGCCGGCTACCCATACCATCAGTCTCATTTCCGACTTCGCGGTTTCGCGTACGCATCACCAGGTCGCCTCGGTGGTAGCCCGGGTTCCAGTAGTTCGAGTAGCTCGGCATCTAATCAGAGAGATGGCTTCTCAATGTCCCCGCTGCTCAGACCCAAGGTCCGTGCCTCTGCGGTCGAGTTCCCGACATCGTCTACTGGAGTTGTTGGTCGTCACGTGTGTACTAACCCACCATCTTGTTGCAACGAAGTATCTGCAAATGGAAGAGCCTGTTGTCAGGCGATTAGAAGGTCTCTGCCGCCGGGGGCGTTACCGTCGATACCCACGCAATCTTCCTGGTGAGTTATTTCGACATTTTTGGAATTTACATTTGGCCACTAGGCATTTATCCGTAGCTGTAGGAATTTTGTAATAAATTTTTATTTTTAACGCAAAGATATCACTCCGCGAAGAGAAATATGGATGAACGTGGTAGAAAAAAATCATTGGACTGCAGGATCCAATATGATGCTGAAGCTTTACAAAAGAGACAATACAGGCCAATACAAAGTAATTTAATAGAAGAAGTGCATGCCGTGAAATTTTTGTTCTCTCGTGTAGAAAGTTTTTGATAAATTCCTTCGTTTTTATATTTCATTGATGTTGAATATTAGTTTGCTGTGTAATATACCTGCGAATATACCCAAAATTGATCGTTTGCGAGAAGAATATTAAAAGCTAATAAGGTGAATGTCCTGAGGGCGTTCAATTCTTTCTCAAGCGTTTTTACCAAATTTCCATTGCCACGGTTCACATTGAAACATTGAGAAAAAAAAGGGGAGAAAGAACGAGAGACCGTGAAAGAGATAGATCTTCGTTAACGACGGAAGTTTTTGTATTAAATTTGAATAGATTTTTCCAACGAAGTCAGAGTTACGAAGAGATTCACGTTTAATTCTCGTGGGCGAAGTTTACCGGTGGAAAAAATTAATTGCCGCACAAATGGAAGTCAGCGTGCGGATAAAAGGAATTGCATGCGGCGTGGAGGTCGAGCTGTGTAGCCAGGGGATTAAGGAATACGGGGATCCGGATAATATAGGTGTCCCCTTCGTAATCATACACCTTTATAATAAAGCTCACGAATTAGAATAGGAAAACTTTAATTGCGAGATGAATGTTATTTATGAAGGGAAAGTAGAAACCCTTTTACGCGATGTGTAACGTTTCCACAAGTGTACATTGTTGTACGCTATATACTTACATATTTATATTTATGTGAAAACTGGTCGATTTGTAGTGGCAGTATATGAATTCTACCAAAGTAACAAATCTTGTAGAATTAATGAATAATTTTTATTAATTTTCTAATTTTGAACTACTGATTGGAAGAAAAAGTTATTATGGAATTTTTATGGAATCATCAAACTCTAGTGTTAATAATATTGTAGTTTAATGTTTATCATGTATTGTACTACATACATTTACTATTATTTATGACTGGTTATATCAATTTCGAAAGTCTCTCTTATTAGTACAGTACAAAGTAGAATTTAAAGATTTAATTTTTAATACTAAAATTTTTTTTTTATTTGTAAGAATTTTATAATCAATTTTCATTGAGAATTATAAGTAAATTATTCTGGCGTGGTTCTATGTTGTGTTTAATAAGTGTTTATCGTTTGTTTGATTCTAGTTGAATCTAATGTTTCATTATAAAATGAAAAAATTTGAAGAGTTTGTCGAGTAACAGAATATTTCTATACCGCCAATTTCGCTGTTACATATTGGTTTTCAAAAGTCAATTTGATCGGGTCATAACGTACTGTTATACGTAGTTATGACGATTATAAAGGATAAAATTACTGCGGTTTTCCTGTCGTTTTACAGTTTCAGTGCGTCTTGTTAATAATAAACACGTAGGAAACTATATTTCGAGTCAACTGTGGTGCAAGCTCGTGTAGTCTGACTCAATTTCTAGTTCCCTTCGATATTAAATCTTTTGGCGAGATTGCGTTCGGTAACACGTGGTTTAACTTTCGGTTAGAATGGCCAAGTATGTTGTGCGTGAATTTATAGTGCACCTAATATTTCGATACTGACCACGTGCTAAATGTTTGATCGTTAGAGTGGAAGTTTGCGCCGTATTGGAGCCCAGATAGAATTGATTAAATTCGCAGCGGGACTCTAAATTGAAACATATTAGCCTCTGAAAAGGAGCGCAGCTTTTGAGGCAATATTTTTTCATCAATTGCCCATTTTAGTGCCATATCGAATTTTTAGGCAGAAAAGAATTTATTATTTTTGATGTAGAACGTGGTTTTTTTTGAAGAATAAGAGAATATCCGACTTATTTTGGTTTTCATTTGGTAGCTTTGGGCGGTAGTTTCATTTTTGAATGGCAGTTTCTCATCAATTGCTTGTTGTACTACGATAGAAATTGAACTTTATGGATGGGAAGAGTTTGATATGCAATTTTTGGTAGATAGCGTGTTTTTTTTCAGGAGTGAACGAATATTCAGCTAGTTAATCTTGGAAACTATTGATATTGGAATATCAGAAAATGATACATAATTCGTCGTTATCGGACTTCGATCTAAAGACTCGAAACCAAGTTTGAAATTCAACTCGGTTAGAAACCTGTCTTTATTAAACCGAGACCATAGTTGCAAACGACGAGCGTAATTAGTTATTACAGGGCAAGAAGTAGTTAATATCGTAGAAATAGATAACGATCGATATCGTTAGCAAAGTCAAGGATCGTATATGTAGATCAGATCAGGCGCTTAGCAACAGAGCAGAGAAATTCGCGAGGCGTCTGATGAGACTTTGTTTCACGGTTGATAATCCCTGTTTAAAACGTTATCTAAAAATGAACTGAAATGTAGGCCGTGTCCACGTTTAGCAGTCGCGCGGAAGCCGCGAGCACAGAAAGGGTCGTTACTTTCGTGGCAGTAATCAGGTTAATGGAGTATCGTGGCCCACTTTATTTTTTCATCTTCATCGGCTCCGCGCGTCTCTCTAACTTCCCTGCTTCCCTTTTTTCCGCGTTTCAAAGTCAATGATGCATTACCATCCGAAGATTTCGTCCCGTCTCCGCCAACCCCCGGAATCTTGGAGATTTTTTGCTTCTCTTTTTTCTCTCCACCTTTTTTATCCCTTTTTTTAGGAGCACATATTGTCTCCTACCATGCACGCCCGCGTTTTAACAAAGAAATATATTCAACCTAAAAAAGGAACAGAGGATTTCACGTGTAAGCGTATTCTGAACCAGGCTACTTTCACAGCTTATACGGTAGGATTTAACAGTGGATGTACCGAAATTTTGTGTGTTTCCTGAACTTTCTGATATTCCTATGATCATTGGAGAATTATATAGTTATTTTATAAATAAAGTACAGGAAAACACTTGTCTTCGTTGCAATGTAAAAAATTTGCCAACGGTTATACTTGTGATAGAAGCAGCTAGTAGATGGCGGATTTTTATGCATTTATAGGGAAAAATGCAAAAATACATAGAAAACACTATACGTATTTTATCCTCAAACAAACGTAGAATAATACTGCGTTATCAATTGACTGCGGATTTTTATGCGTTTATAGAAAACTTGGGGATACAAAAATGCACAGAATGCATATAATACGCCAAGATATATAAAACATTCAAAGAGTAATGTTGCAGTAAAAAAGATTATCACTGTCGGACTATCTCAAAGTACAACTCAATGCAATCGAGTTTCTTTGAAGCGTAAGAAAGGTTCGGTATGACGGTAGAAAAAATGCATGAAGCTAGGCAAGTTGTGAGGACGAATACTCGAATTTCTTGACTCAGCATTTTTTCTTGAATGCGTGTTTTGAAGAAGGAGAAACTCCAACCCTTACATACCGGTCACGTAACGTAGCGACGTTCGAGCATCAGACTAGTGGTCCGCAGGCAATAAAATAACAAAGTGTGCTGAGTTTAAGAAAAGGAAAAGGGATATGCTAATTTTACAAAAATTTCGCCTTGTGCCGCAACAAATAGTACTCTTTAAAACATATAACGGCTAAAATAAGTAGCTATCCAAGTTCAATCTTCGTTTTTAAATTGCATTCATAGAAGCACGAATTTACATAAATATTCACAATCTAGTTATCAATGACCGAATTACTTAAACGATAGCGTATCTTGTCCTCGAGGAGACGACAGAGTAATTCTGCTTTGTCAACGACCAAGACACTTGAACGAGATACAATTAGAATGGCGGCTCGTTAACGACAATTTCCTATTAAGTCGGTGGTGTTTAATTAGACTTGGTGAGACGTCAGCGAATTCTCGTGTCGGGAAACACAGGATGCCAGGGGTGGCCTCTGGCAGTATACCGAAAGTCGAGAGGGTACAATGGTCGGACAGGCAGTTTCCTGAAAACTGAGCCAGAGGAGGGCGATTCCTTTCGGTCTGAAAGGGTAGGAAGAGATTACGTCGGCAGGCTCGTTCCGCTGAGTGTTCAGTTTGCTTTGGGATATCGGCTTTACCCTCGCGGATTCTCTGCGCGAGTTTGCCGAAAGCTTTGTGCTGGTCAAGCCGATTGTGACGTGCCTCCGCCCATCGCATCACCCAAACCCCCGAAAGGGGAGAGCTCGTCAGTTCGAATGGAAGTAGAGAGAAGTCTGGCGACTGCCTCTATCCGTGAAAGAATTCGCGTTCACCCTTTTCCCTGACGCTTACGGTATCGTCCTACATGTGTACTTAAAGAGACATCCAGTTATACAGCCGCTTCGGGGACTTGGAATCTTTCTTCCTGTTTTTCTTTCACTTTCCTTCGAGAAAATTGTATTGACTGCGGTAGGTGTTGGATCTATGCGATTTCAATGCTTTCAAGGAAGTTTCGACGATCATAGAAGTTGCAAGAAAGTATTCTGTCGGCGAATTCCTTTGATAACCATTCATCTTATGATTTATATATTTATGTGAATAGTAGTGGAAGTAGTTTTAAAAGTATTACGTGTATATCCATTTCTTCGCCGGGAAATTTTTAGGAATGATTAATTGCCCTATTACAATAGCCCTAGCAGCAGGACTATCAAAATCATTAAAATATTAACGAAGAAAATGATTAACAACAGAAAAGCCAATCGGCTAATTATTGTTAAATTATTCTTCAGATTATTTCACGGAATTTTTTCTCATTTCCACTGACTGTTTAATCGTATATATATACCAAATCGAAAATTTTCGAGGATCCATTTATATGACAAACTAAAAAGTATACTTATTACAATAGCTATATTAGAGGGATTGAAAGTACAGAGGAGTTTCAGAAATATAATATAGTAACTTTTATCCAGGACAGTCATGATATTTAGTAATTTGATCTAGTGCTATGATTCTAACAAATATTCTGAAAAATATTCTACTTTAAAATACCAAAGCAGTGGAAGAATTTGTATTTCAAACTTTCTTAAAGAATTTTCGATTTCGATACCTCGAGATTTCGAGTTTCGTTGTATCATAAACTTTGTTTTAAAGAAAGGTATTCGCGGCTTGTGTGCACTGCTTAGTATGCTGCTTCCACAGGAAACATGTCAGCTTATGCGCGGCGACTTTTTCGTGAATTATTTCTTGTTTACTTCGACATCTGGTCGCGTTTCCTTGGCGCTACACAGTGCGGCATCTGAACGAGAATTTGGGACAAAAACCAAAATTCGCAGGCGATGTGCGTGCGTTCGCAGGCCAGGCTCGCACGTTTCACAGTGCGGCATTTGAATTAGGAT